TTTCCCAAGGATGTGTTAGTAGAATTCTGTTAGAAATATAAAGCAGGCATAACTTACAATTAAAATTTTTTCTATAAGGCTAATGTTAATAGAATGCTAATTTCTATCTTAAAACATATATATTAGTGAAATATTATTTATATAATAAATAGAGTGTAAAACTAGATAAATTTTTGGCCATCTGTAAAATTTGTTATATATAATTGTAAATTGTTTCAATTTGAATGCACATATAAATAATTATGTCATTTTTAAACATGCATTAGTTTTGTATCCTTTGGAATAGTTTCTTTTTTTTACGTTAAATTTTGCTTACCTTGTTTTTAAACTTTCAACTGTTTGACGCGATGGTGCAGCTCCATCTGCAAGACATTAAATTTTAGTTAAAACGAGTTAAAATAAAAATTATTACTATTAGTTTTGTTATCAATCTTTTTTTCTTGTTCAATTAATATTGAAATAATGTTTTAGCTAAAATTCGTTTAATCTAGTTGCTCCCTTTAATAGTTAACACAAAACAAAGATTTGTACTTTAAAAAATGACTTGGGCTTGCAACACAGATGACAGGATTACTTGGACACAGATTTCCGCTTCTCAATTTCTGTTATCATTAAATAATATAAGTTGCTTACATTTCATTAATAACAACTTTGTTTCGTATGATGCTTCATTATTCACCACTGGACGCTCACCTTTTGACTGCCTGAAACATAGATTGCATACATATTTACTAATAAATAATAATATACAATAATATAAGTTAAGATAATATACAATAATATAATTTCTGACAAATACAGATATATTATTTTATTATCTTATTTAATAAATTAATATATTCAAAATTTGAACTTACAATCCTCTTGTAGAAATATCACTTCCTGTTCTTGTCCAACCTGAAAAAATATAATGTTATATTTTATCAATATATAAACTTTTAACATAAAAATGTATTTCTTGTTAATGTAATTAATTAATAATATCTTTATTATTTTATAAGATTTTAATCACCTTTAAAAATTAAAAAAATTGTCTATTATTAGTTATATGTATATACAGAATAAAACAAAGTGTATGTGTGTGTGTATGTCATTAAAAGTAAAAATATATATTCTACAATAAAAGCAAAAAAAAATATGTAAGGTTAATAATGCATTTTTATAAATGTAACTTTTTTAAGTTACAAATATATAATGTATATGTATATACAATTATATATGTGATTTATATACATACACACAAATAAATATCTAAACTCTTAATAATATTTAATCAATAAAGACAATAAATACATTAATGAATATTTATATCAATACCTTTCTTTACTATACTTCCAGTCGCTGACTTTCCTGCACCTATACCTAACAACTTTTTTTCCTCTTCCAACTTTTTGGCATCTTCTATATCTTGTTTGGTAAGCTTCGTTGTTAACTAAACAAAAAATTGTATCCAAAAAATATATACATATATA